TTATCATACAAACAAGTCTTTCTCTTTAGTCCAAACGTTCAACGAAATAAGGAAATAAAAAGATATGTTTTGTATAGAACATGTTCATTTCTTATAAACATGTCGGTAGTCTTTCGTCCCATCTCTAACTACATGCCGTCAAAGTTAACCAATGGATTCAGCAATAAAGATAAAATTCCCGACTATTTGAAATCATGACTCGTTATTCAACTGCATCGACTATTCGCTCTCGAGTTGTGAAAATGTATAACCTTAGAAGATAGACATCCATCAACACTCTGGATCAATTACACGATCAGGGACCGGCAAATGATCACAAGCACTGTTAAAAGTAAATCATGATAAAGTAGATGATATCATTACTACATGTTCAAATCTAGGAAACGATACAAATAAACAGTAATATACTGCCAAATCAGCGATTGACAGATACATCACCTAATCATACTATGACAGCCGATGATTTTCGACTTCTTACAACAAAAGAACATAAGCATCTTTAACTAGTGAAGACATCATTATTCATACATATAACTAGACCAGAACTAAATGTGACCGATCGTTCGGTACCTTTGTACGTTTTTCGAATAGTACTGATAGAAATTCTATTATAAGTTTATACAGTGGCAAACGTTTTGTACCACCATCAAGTTCAATGGATCAAAATATTATCATCATTGATGTTGTTATTTAGGTTTTTTATAAAACATGACGTTATATTTTATAAAATAGAATGTTCCATTCTTTCCGTCATGTAAGGATGAAAAAGATAAAAAGTCTAACATAGGTTATTTTTTTGCTATTGTTGTTAGATTCTTGTTTGAGATTGGCCCTTTAAGGTCAAAATATCACCGAAGAATAAATATGATTAAAGATTTCAAAACATCTGCAATTATAATCGGTTATTGTCAAAATTTGTTGCCCGTAAACTCAGAAAATGAAGAAACAATCTTCAATTCGAGATAAATTATGTGCTAAAAATAGTTTTGTCTAGTACTCTGAGATATACTACTCTCTCATAGTTCGTTTTGGAAATGTTTTGTCGATTTAGTAAAGTAAAGCAAAAAGAATGTTTGTTATCTACCTACCAAAAATCTGATTAATATGCGACAAAGTCTTATCTCTCTCTACTGTTGAAAGGTTTTAGCATGTTGTTAGACAGTAGTTCTTATTGACTGGACTGAAAGTTTCGACAATGAAGAGTCACTAATGTGAAAATTAACTAGTATACAATATAATAGACGTTTCAGTCGTCACATATTAAAAATTACTTTTTTTTCATGTGCGTATACAGAATGAAAAGAACAGATAACTAACGTACAGGAGAAAGAGAAACGAGTCTAGCTTTAAGAATGATGTAATTCCATGTGACTGATAAGAAGAGAAAAAGAGAGATAAATCACCTCTCTGTATGGTGTCAGGTTGCAGCGCTACGTTAAAAATAATTTGTGCCGAAAATACGTATATCTTAGCTGTTGAAATTATTTTTTGAGCTCAAATTTCTTCGTTGCGCATGAGTGATCATTATGTATGGTCGACTCTTACAAAGTATATCAAAATCATGTACACAAAATGAACTATCTTATCTCGAACATTTAATTGAATTACGATGTGAAATCAACGAAGAAAATTACAATGCTTCTGCGCCACAAATCAGACCTACACTTGTCTTTGATAACTGGTTATATTTAGGAGACGTCGTACATGCATCAAATGTTACACTTTTAAAGAATTTACGCATTACCCATATACTCAACGTTTCAGGCGATGATTGTCCATTACTGACAGATAGTCGATTAATGAAAGAATTCAAAATAATGCAAATTCCATTAGATGATAAAGTACATTGTGATATTCAACAATATTTTGATAAAACAAATCAATTTTTACATGATGCGTATACCAATGGAAAACACAGAGTATTAGTTCATTGTAAATGTGGTGTATCAAGATCAACAGCGAGTAAGTATTAATTGTAGATACATTCCTATACATTAGTCTTAGAACTACTAGTTAAAGAGGAAAACTATAAAGCCAAAGGCGATTGTTTATTTAAGAATTTTAACTCGTCGGTGGGTTCAAATAATCACGGACTAAAATGGGATTGTGAACATGAACTATACTGTCAGTTCTATTGGTTTTGTTTACTTGCACATTTTTTCTTACCTTTCGTTCAGTTGTTTTGGCTTATTTAATCAAACATCACAATCAACCATTAGAACAAGCATACTTAGCTTTAGCTAGTAAACGACCTCAGATATCACCAAATCTTGGCTTCTTATTACAATTAAGACGATATGAATTGGAACTAAAGCAAACGAAAGCAGAGGACATGACAGACAGCTGAAATATAATAAGGTTTCTAATATACGAATGAAAACACAAGGTTAAAAGCTTCAAAACTGCTATCAATGTATCATCTTCGATGCAAGCAACATTCGAACCATGTGAATTTTTTGTCACGCTACTTAGTTTTGAGATTTTTGTTGAACTTTTCTATGAACGTTCATTATCTAATGGACTACTAAATAGCACACGATGATAGATCGTATGAGTTACTTGAAGTAGTCACCGACCGTTGTTAATAAGACAGCTCATATGTCGTCTAATAAGGAGGTTATTAATTCTTACTGTCTACTTATCGGTTTATTGGATCGGTATTCATCCACACCATGGGCAAGAACACTCTTTTCGCCAACCGAAAAAAACTAGCATTCAATATTTCGAAAAGCCGTTATTCTACAATATTTTTACACATGTCGCACCGATAACATCAATTTGGATAGCTGATAGTATTTTTGACAGCATTTGGCAAAACTATTTTTTTTGTACAATTGGATTCTAGTGTTAGTGTAATAAATGTCTGAGCAAAAATTGTCGAGCACTTATGTTGTATACATTAGTTGCTACATATTTATCTCAATTAAAGAAACTAGATAATACAGTTTGTCTAATATAAATGAAATTTTTCTTCATAAATAAACATGATATGGCATCGCCCATGTGAGAAAACTTGATTTCTCGCACGTCGTTGATAGCGCGATAACCGTGTTGACAAATGAGATAGTTGTAGTCGTTATTTCTGGTTATTCGCCTAATATTTTGTAACTCATCGTGTAATAAAAGATAACTAGAGCAAATCTTTAGTGTTCGATGGATCCTGTAATTACTGACCGTTTATATGATAATGAAACATATGATTCCCAATTCATAATAAGGCAAAAACTAAGCAAATGGTTTTCTGCTGTTACTGGACACTTTGACAATGATGATGAGAAGAAAAAGACAAATTTTTTTCAAGTGTCATACAATCATAGTAGTATCAAACTTTACAAAAATCATTTTTGAAATTTGCTAGAAAAGTACAACCTAAAAATTATTGAAAAGCCTTTGAATTCTATTCGAAATTTGTTCAATTTTAAAGATAAAATCCCGAACCATATAAAGTCGAAGGTTGTCTATGATATTAAATGTCCAGATTGTGATTCGAGATATGTCGGTAAAACTATCAGACAAGCAGTTAGGCGGCTTGAGGAACATAATCTACCAAAGAATACTATTGACCATTGCTTAACTTTCAATACTCTACAGTTAACGAATACATAAGTACTAACTGCTAACTCGGTGATATCATCTCTACAGGATAGAACACGATTATTGAGGACAGTGAAAGCACAAGCGTCATAACAGATAACTCAACAGGTTAAACAGATAAGCTCCACTGATCGAGTTGTACTAAACGAGAGTGACGATTATGATAAAAATAATATATCTGAAGCAAAATCAGCCATTCAGAAACATTGTGATGATACTTAACGCAGTATAGCTTGGGATAACTATTAATATTATTGATAGATATAGGAATGAATATCATTTACTTACCAAAGAGTATTTGTCTATTGCTTCAATTAATCCTAGTCGCAATAAAACAGTTTACTCAGTGCCGTTAATCGTGCATCCGGGTGGTTTGACACAGAATACCAAAACAGAGTAAAACGATGATTGATCCGTGTGGATGAAGAATATATGTGAATAGAGTGAAAGAGAACATTTGACAAGTAGAAAATACTAGTCAGTCAGAAAAAATTAACAAAGTTGAATGTACCCCTCTCCGTTTTCTACGTCAGTTTGAAGTACACAGGTTGTACTCCATGCCATGCTATTTTTTAGAAAACGATACCATTGTGTTTTTGAGTTATAAGGCTAGCAATATCACAGCTGAACGTATGAAAAAGTGGGTATCTACGCCAATATACATTTTAAGGTGCACATATGGCGAAAGCCACTTGCACAATCGTTCTTTTTTCTTTTTGAATAAAAAGCTTAAATAAAACCAAAAACCTTTTGTGCTCGAGCACAGAAATCTGGACACAACGAAAAACAAGTGGATTCCACCTTCTTTTTTACGTTTTCCTTGTCTTATTGACTAGGAATGTTTGAAGTGCCTCTTCACTGATACTATTTTTACCAAACATACTCTGCTCAACTTTCAATAATTTCTTTAGGTGATCGGTGTTAGGTCTCATATTGGGTCGTTTCTCTTGGACCAGTTGAAAGGCATCGTTCAGTGTCATATGAAGTGAGTGCATGAGATATATGATTGCAATTGTAGGCGTTCGACTAATGCCACCTTGACAGTGAACTAAAACACGACTATTATGTCCTGGTGTTGTACGTGCTTCGTCAATAAATTTCAAAAGGGGTTCTAAATGTTCATCGAATTTCTCTGTTGACTCTGATCTGTCTGGAATATGAAACTCTCCATAAATAAAATCGGATGGAAAATGGCATTTGCCGGCTAAATTAACAATGTGTGTAATGTTCAACGTCTTTAAACCATTGATATTTTTGGATGTTGGTGCACTACCTAAATGTGTCGAGTTATGAAGTCAGCATAATGTCATGAAGTGTATTCTCCCATTCTTTACCCAGATATAAAAAGTCTTTGATTAATTCTGAACAATCAAATTTCAATGGACGACTGGCCATAAAGTTTATCTGATCTGAAAATAGTCAAATACAATTTAGCGGTAATTGCATAATCAAAACACAGCAAAAGCATCAGATGGTGACTTTTCGCATTGCTCTTGTTTCGTTTTGATTGTGTAATTACAACAGTTTTCTTTCGTTTCTTTTGAATAATATGTATGTAGTTGATTCAACGTGTAGTGAAACATGAGGTGCTGAAATGCAAGTGTAAGAAATCGTTGTGTCATCTCTATTGCATTCGTGCATATGTGTTTCAAAAAGATTAAATTAGTCATAGCCTAAAACATCAATCTGAAACAATAATTCTAAAGAATCTTTATATATGCAGACTATTTTGCCCCCATTTCGAGTTTCGTTCGTAGATGAATGATTATAGACATTCATTGAGATTAAGCAAATTCTGCAATATAGACTAAGAACACGTGCCGGAAAGAGTAAGTGCTGTCCTTGTCACTATATGTTTTGCGCCGTAATTATACAAACAATATCATGAAGAATCTATGGAAGCTAAAGCGTGGGTGAAACGTTATCACAAAGTTTTAGTTAACTGAGTTACGCCACTTTTACTATGTATACTGATTAAATTGATCTCCGTTTTTTATGTTAGCACGGATGACATCGCCCAATGAAACTACTTTTAAAAACTTGATAATTCATCCAATAAATATTGGACTTCATGATTTTGTTGCAAGTGAAAAGTTTTAGAACCCCATTATTATATTGTAATGTATTTACCTTGGCATAATTGCTTCGTTTTGATTGCAAAGTCAGCGTCATTAAATGATTGTAAATGCCATCGTATATTTTGTGCTTTTGAACAGCTGCTAAACACCTCTTATGACATAGCTATTGTTAAAAAAGCGCTCCTGGTATTACTTCTGAGAGAAAGAGTAGGAATTAGTCGAAGACAATCAGCATTTTCATCGGCCATCAGAAATGAAAGAAGTACATCTGTTAAGTGGATGATGGTTAGTTCGACGAATTGATGACGAGTCGAAAGATAACTGTTATGCTCTGCCATTCCTGGCAGCTCATAAGACTATGTTCTCTTCTTCTTTTCCTTTGCTTCTGTTCATTTCGTTCGTGACTCATTGTGTTCTTGCACTATCGTTACGTAATCCTGTTCTTGCGCAACACTTGTTTCATCCTTTCTTTTCTGTTTTGCAATTGGTTTTCCCAACTCTTTCTGTTCTTGCGCAACTCTTGCACAACTGTTGCTTCTTTCTTGTACTATATATAGCCGTTCACTTTATGCAAATAAATATGACAAGTGAGTGAGTAGAGCCTCACGATAACTGAAACTCGTCACAAACTGGCACTTGGACTGGTACGCCTGGCATCCCCATCCGGAATCGTCTGTAAATTGGATGGCTAACAAACAACGAGCGTTTACTCCATCCATTTAGGACCAGTCTGATGCACTAAGGAGGATCCTCATACTTATTCCTCTTTTCTTTAAAATACTTGAGTAAACAGTAAAGGTTGGTACGTGGACAACTTCTCATTTAAAGCCCAGAACATAACATGGCTTTAAATGAGAAGTTGCCTTTTTGACAACATCTGGCAAAACTATCTTTTTTGTACAATTGGATTCTAGTGTTAGTCAAAAATTGTCGAGCACTTATGTTGTATACATTAGTTGCTACATATTTATCTCAATTAAAGAAACTAGATAATACAGTTTGTCTAATATAAATGAAATTTTTCTTCATAAATAAACATGATATGGCATCGCCCATGTGAGAAAACTTGATTTCTCGCACGTCGTTGATAGCGCGATAACCGTGTTGACAAATGAGATAGTTGTAGTCGTTATTTCTGGTTATTCGCCTAATATTTTGTAACTCATCGTGTAATAAAAGATAACTAGAGCAAATCTTTAGTGTTCGATGGATCCTGTAATTACTGACCGTTTATATGATAATGAAACATATGATTCCCAATTCATAATAAGGCAAAAACTAAGCAAATGGTTTTCTGCTGTTACTGGACACTTTGACAATGATGATGAGAAGAAAAAGACAAATTTTTTTCAAGTGTCATACAATCATAGTAGTATCAAACTTTACAAAAATCATTTTTGAAATTTGCTAGAAAAGTACAACCTAAAAATTATTGAAAAGCCTTTGAATTCTATTCGAAATTTGTTCAATTTTAAAGATAAAATCCCGAACCATATAAAGTCGAAGGTTGTCTATGATATTAAATGTCCAGATTGTGATTCGAGATATGTCGGTAAAACTATCAGACAAGCAGTTAGGCGGCTTGAGGAACATAATCTACCAAAGAATACTATTGACCATTGCTTAACTTTCAATACTCTACAGTTAACGAATACATAAGTACTAACTGCTAACTCGGTGATATCATCTCTACAGGATAGAACACGATTATTGAGGACAGTGAAAGCACAAGCGTCATAACAGATAACTCAACAGGTTAAACAGATAAGCTCCACTGATCGAGTTGTACTAAACGAGAGTGACGATTATGATAAAAATAATATATCTGAAGCAAAATCAGCCATTCAGAAACATTGTGATGATACTTAACGCAGTATAGCTTGGGATAACTATTAATATTATTGATAGATATAGGAATGAATATCATTTACTTACCAAAGAGTATTTGTCTATTGCTTCAATTAATCCTAGTCGCAATAAAACAGTTCACTCACGAGGGAACCATCTGAGGTGATACCTCCCGTTTTCATTCATTCATATCTCATTTAGTTGAGTATATTAAGATAATAAAAACCCTAAAGGGGATTTTCCTCAATCTCATTCCTTCAAAAGTTATCGACGTTTTCCTATTTTTACCCTTATACAAGATGAAAAATTTTTTAAATGACAAATTAGCAAAATAAGTCAAAGAGATTAGACGAGTGTATTTGTTTACTAGCGCCTTCTGTTATGTGTTGATATAGCTCTATATAAAGGAATACAATACTACTAGTGCCTTTTTTTCTCATATCTACAAGTACCATTGCACTATAGTTTATTTATGATGTCAGAGTCACTTCTATATTTTTATACCCACTTTTTTTCTTTTCTTTTTTATAATCACTTCTTCGAATTGTACCATATTCATTGAAAACGACATCTTTTATTTCTTGAAGTTCGATATATTTGTACTCTTTTATGGATTTACTTTGCTTTGAAAATTTTTCATCTTGTATAAGGGTAAAAATAGGAAAACGTCGATAACTTTTGAAGGAATGAGATTGGGGAAGATCCCCTTTAGAGTTTTTACTATCTTAATATACTCAACTAAATGAGATATGAATGAATGAAAACGGGAGGTATCACCTCAGATGGTTCCCTCATCAGTGCCGTTAATTGTGCATCCGGGTGGTTTGATACAGAATAGCAAAACAGAGTAAAGCGATAATTGATCCGTGTGGATGAAGAATATATGTGAATAGAGAGAAAGAGAACATTTGACAAGTAGAAAATACTAGTCAGTCAGTAAGAAAATAAATATACCTCGTACACCTCAGACAATCCTTATCGCGTGTATCTAAGAAAAATCCTGAATTCTTCACTAGTTCACACGTGCCTACGGAGGTATTGGCATTCTTATAAGATAATTGGTGATAAGATTAGTGTTGTGTTTAATATGAAAATGGGGTCTTTATGTCATAAACCTGTCCTTACCGTATAAACTGTATTAATCAATAATTGATCGAGGCCATTATTTGCAGCTTAAATTGAAGACTGATGATTTGGAATGATGAATTTTTGCTCACGTTCATTATCAAAGCTGTCAAGATATTTTTTGATTATTAAATCCTATATGGTAAACCGGGCAAGTAGCGAGAGTTAGTATCATTCTAACTGTCTTATAAGAATGCCAATACCTCCGTAGGGACGTGTGAACTAGTGGAGAATTCAGGATTTTTCTTAGATACACGCGGTAAGAAACGTGTGAGGTGCATGAGGTCGTCATACAAACGCAAATTTCTGAGACAGTTCTACTAAGCAAAAGGTATTCTTTTGCTATACACGCGCGTTTTTGTATGAAACATCTGCACGAGATGGTGTCATGAATTTTTCGTAATATTCGAACTATATATATGAAGTACGTTGTGGTTCTTTTACAGTATGTTTTTACGCACGAATACCTCACATTTTTCCATTCAATTTTATTCTTTTGAAATTAACAGGTGTTCCAGAATAAACCGGTCACTTAGTATTTTGCTCATATCTTAATTGGATTTTATCCCCCCAACTTTGTTGTTTTCTTAAAAGATGTGTCGTAAAATTCTCTACAAAAAATATATTAAACATTTTTCTATATATCGTAAAGAGAAAAGAATATCGAAGAAATACTGCGAAGCTTCGATCTCGATTACT